TCCCCCATGCCAGGGAGCCTCACTGGGCCAACGGGGCCTCCTTGTGTGCCCGTGTTGCTCACCTACAGGGTTCGCCTGGAAGTAGGGTGACCGACCATCCTGGTTTGCACAGGACTGAGAGAGTTTCCAGGAGGCGAGACTTGCAGCGCTAAAACTGGGACAGTCCCAGCCACACCTGGACGGTTGATCACCCTCCCCAGAAGCCTGCCACCAGCGGGACGCGCTCTCCCTGCCAGGACTCTGCATCCTGTCAAGGCCGGGGGATCATGCATTTCTTCTTTTTTTCTTTCATAATTGCAGACTTTACAGAAGAGTTGCAAGAATAACACAAAGAATACCCAGACACTCTCTACCCAGCTTTCTCAAGTATTAACATTTTATTACATTTCCTTATCTTTTCTCCTCTCTCCTTCTGAACTGTTTAGGAGTAAGTTGCAGACATAATGCCTCTTTACCCTTAAATACTTTAGTGTGTCTTTCCTAAAAACAAGACGTTCTCTTTTATAGCCAATGTACAGCGATCCTAATCAGGAAGTTAACGTTGAAACAACACTACTGTCTAGTCTGCAGACTGTATTGGGATTTCGTCAACTGTCCCAAGAATGCCCTTCCCAGCCAAAGGAAATCCAAGCCCAGGTGTCACGTCTCTTCATCTCCTTCAATCTGGAACAGTCCCTGAGTTTTCCGACGTATTTCATGACATTGACATGTTTAAAGAGGACAGACCAGATATTTTTCAGAATGAGGGACCCTCCAGCAGTGCTTGGCATGGAACCGGCCCCTAAGTGCTCCTGTGTATTGAGCATCTACTGGGTTCCAGGTTCTTCTTGTACATTATCTCTTTCGTCTCTTCAGCAACTCCCCCGGGGACAAGTGAGATGGAGGACAAGAGAGATGACGACTCCCGTTTTGCGCGGGAGGAAGCAGCTCAGGAACGCGAAGGGGCCTGCCTGAGGTTGCTCAGCCGATGAGAGGTGGCCCTGGAGCCCATTCTCGTAACCACTGGGCAAGCGTGCCTTGAGGGATTTTCTTGGTGTTTTACTTGCAGATGTTGTTTCTTTTAACTTCAGAAGCTCTGAGGTCAGCAAATTGTCATCAAGCTGTCCCCAGCCATGTCCTACCCAAGAGTCCCTCTACCCCCATGTACTGATAGAGATCGGAACACTGACCTCTGTACCTTCCCCAGGCCTGCAAGAAGCAAGGGCGCAATTAGCCATCAGCACTTTCGACAGATTGCCAGTAGATGGGCCAGACGACTGTAGGGTGAAAGTTCGCCCTTTGAGTTAAAAATCTCCCGTCTCCTAACCCAAGTCCCTGTTAGGGGCTAGGGCAGGACACGGACTAAGAAATTCCACCCTGGTCTGGTCTCTATGGTGGTGGCTGTGGCTGAGGCAGCAGAGGGTACCTGGTTTCCCTTCCTACTCCCTGCCCTGCCAAAGCTATAGCCAGAGGCAGAGTATCCTCTCCCAGGGTCTGGCTCCCCTCCTCCAGGAAGTCCTCCTGGCATGAGGCCCAGCCAGTCCCTCTGCTCTCCCAATATTTCCCCAGCTTTACCTGCCAGCCCAATCTTTTTCCAGTCTTTTCATCATCTGCCTGTGACTCTGTATTCCCTATTGAATTTGTTCATTTATTTATTCAACAAATATCCATTGAGGACCTACTACGCCAGAGCTGCTGTGCTAGGTGCTGGGGTCAGCAGGGAGTAAGGCTACCGTCTCTAAGGCCACTCTGAGGAGGGGACAGCTGAGCTGAGAGTCTAAGGATGAGGATCCAGTGTGCATGGAGTTCAGGGAATGGCATTCCAGGCAGAGGGAACAGCGAGTGCAAAGGCCTGGTGACATGCTTGGGGAGCAAGAAGGAAGTCTGTGTGGCCGGGGCCCAGCTGAGGTGGGGCGGTCACTGGGCTAGCCCTGCAGGACCTGGTTGACCACAGTAAAAAGTCTGGATTCCGTGGCAAGCTCCACAGGGAGGCATCGAGGGGCTTTTAAAGTTGGAAGGTGATGCACTGTCTTTTGTATGTTAAGACTTCTTTGGCTGCCGTGCAGTGGTGTCCAAATGGGAGGTGTCTGCAGACTGAGCATCTTCTGAGCCTCCGTTTCCTCTTCTGGAAAAATGGAGGTGCCAATAGTACCAACTTTGTGAGACCCTTGCAAATGTTAAATGAGAAAATTCTGGACTGTCCTGGAGCCAAGTCCCACACAGGGCTAAGAGCCAGGCTGTGTCTGTATCTTGCTTCTTGTCCTCGGGGAGCAAGACCGGAGGAACGGCGCCTGCCGCACCTGTTGCTGTCACCCCAGACTCCACGGCTCAGCTGTGAGGGCCCTGTGCATTCTTGACCTAAATTTTGTCCACTTCGTAACCGCTCAAACAGCTGGTCTTGCTGCTGCCCGAGAACAGCCAGGGGATGAGGGTTGCTACCTGAGGAGGTGAATTTAAGCCGTAGATTTACAATACCTTTTATCAGCTTGGCAGGCGCAGCTCAAGTGGGTGTTATCGGTAAACACAGCAATGCCATTGATCAGGCTGGGTAAATAGCCTCGACTGACTTAGCAAAGCCTTGGAACGTCGCCGTTAGGTCCCTATTTGGGGCCTGTGTAATGAAGCGTGCTCAATCTGGGGTCAAAAGACCTGCCACTCTTTAGCTATGTGCCCTTGGCCAACTTAATTAATAGAGCCTCTGTTTCCTTTGTAAACTGTTAACCCAGGCCCTTCAAGGTTGTGCCAGCAAAAAGAAAATGTGACAATGGCCAGGAGAAGATTTTTTTTTTATATTTTTTTTTGTTAGAGATGGGGTCTCTCTTGCTCAGGCCGGTCTCGAACTCCTGAGGTCAAGTGATCCTCCCGCCTCAGCCTCCCGGAATGCTAGGATTACAGGCATGAGCCACCACGCCCGGCCCAGGAGAAGCTTCATGAGTGATGAACACCTGGGCTCCTGTGAGAAGATGGTGATGATGACGATGATGATGATGGGTGGGACAATATAGTGTGGGTTCTAGAATCAGAGGCTGGGTTTCAAGCCCTGCTGTGTGACCTCTGGCAAGTTGCTTAACTTCTCTGAGCCTCTTATGTATAAGATGGGGGTAAGAGTAGTATCAGGCTTGTTGAAAGGATTGCATATGATGTATTGAGTCGAATGTTTCCCACCCCAAATTTGCATCCACCTAGAACCTGTGAATATGACCTATTTGGAAATAGGATCTTTGCCGGTACATACAGAGGTCGTACTGGATTGGAGTGAACCATAAATCCAATATGACTGGTGTCCTTCTATCAGAAGAGGGAAATTTGGACACAGAGACATAGACACATAGGAAGGACACCATGCAAAGGTACAGACAGAGAATGAAGTGATCTGTCTACAAACCAAGGAGCACTAAGGATTGCCAGCAGCCGCCGGAAGCTGGAAAGGACAAGGAAGGATTCTCTCCTAGAGCCGTTAGAGGGAGCATGGCCTTACCGATACCTTGAATTTGGACTTCCGGCCCCCAGAACTGTGCAAGAATACATCTGTTGTTTCAAGTTGTGCAATTTGTTATAGCAGCCACAGGAAACAAACGTGCGTGATAACGCAGGCAAAATGCTTGGTGCCGCGGTACCTAGCGTGTGGGACGCGCTGTCTAAGGGTTAGCTGCTGTTCTTATTGTTATCATTCTTAGTATTGTCTTGTTTCTGGTTCAGGGTCGACTGTGTTTCCTACAGACTTGGCTGGGGGACAGCCAGCCAACTTCTCTGGCTCGAGTCTTGCTGGGGGTGGGGAGAGATGGCTGTCCCTGGGTCACGGTGTCCCGTGAGGCCTTGCCTGGAGCGGGTGGCTGCCCTCCGGGAGTGGCTGACCTCCATGAATCCTTGCAGGGGGTTATGCTGAGGTTTTGGGGGGGGGCGTCCTCCAAGAGTCCTCGTTGTGCGGAGGGGCGGGGCCTCCGGGAGGCTGCCTGGCGTGGCCCCAGCCCAGGCCTGGTTCGTGGGGCGCAGCTCCCCAGATGCCTCGTAAACCTGTCTGGCAACCACATTCCTCCGACACTCGGAGCAGCCGGCTATGGCTCCACAGCCTGTTGTGGTTTCGTAACGCAGACGGGAGCGTCAGCTGCCACCCAGGCCCGTGACTCATCTTGGCACTTCTGAGCCCGAGTTTCCCCTGTCGCAGCCAAAACCCTTCCTTGCCGGTCCGCCCCGTCTTCCCTTCGGCGACCGAAGGCGGGTCTTCTGAGGACTTCCTCAACAAGAAGGGAGGAGAGACAGGCCCCTGGGACCCTAAAGATACTCGAGGAGGACAGCTATGACTCCGTTTCTCAGGCTCGTCACCGCTCCCGGGTTCGGGGCGAGGAGTGTTGTGGTTCGGGCTGAAGTGGGTTCCCTCCACCCAGGCAGTGGCCGGACACGGCCTTGGAATACCTGGCTCTGGCCCTTGCCTTGGTCTGGCCACTCATCATTTAGGGCCTCAGTGTTCCCATCTGTGAAAGGGGATGTCGTGAGGACTTGAGCTATTAGAAGTGGGGGCACCCTCCCCTCTCCTCTCCCCAACGTCTCCAGTAGCAGGTCAAATGGCCCAGATCCCCGGTGAGGGGGTTGGACCACATCCTCTTCTGCCAGTGCCTGTTTATGGCCACTAATTAGCATCGGCACTGAGAAGGCCCCAGGGGAAAACAGACAGGACCCCGGAAGACCCTCCACCCCAGATGAAGTTCAAGGATGTAAAAGTCCTTTTGCGGCAGGGGCCGCCCAGCCGAGTCCGTCCACGAATGGACGCTGGAGCCCCCAGGAACTCGCCACAGCGTGCAGACTTAATCTAGGCGCCGAGCACTGCATGTGTGCCCGCGGTGGGGAGTGGCAGGAAAGGAGTCTGCGGGTGTTTGGGGTATTCGTGGTGAGTTAGAAGAACTCGGTGACCCCACGAAGCCAGGCAGCTTCGCTGTGGAACAAGCCATGGCTGGGCGGAGTTGAGCAGACTGACCCTCGCTCCCCTTCTCCCAGGCCCCAAGAGGAGTGTTTTGCAGGACAGCTCACGTCACTTTCATTTTTGGAGCATCTGTCTCCAACATTGGGTGCAGCACCCATGTGGGGCACTGCAGTGTCCCTGGTGAGGGGACTCGGGTAGCAGTGTTGGTCTTGGAGGGCATTCTGGTAGAGTCAGGCCAGGTGCCGATGTGGTCCCAGCCCACCCAGGTTGGGGGGTGATGGGTAGAGAACCTTGCAAGCAGCCGCTGGGGCTTCTGGGAAATGTTTGGAGGTGGAGCCGAGAAAACACTGGGTGGGTTGGAGCTTGGAGCACAGAGATGCAGGGCATTCTGGACCTGTGGCCTCGGGCTGGCAAAACCAACCTGAAGCAACTCTGGTTATACATGTGCACAATTCTGCCTCCTGGCAGTCTCCTGGGACCCCTAGCATTTTGGTCACCATTTACCCCGTTCACAGTGGGGCTCTGTGCATTGCAGGGCTGGGTTGGGCAGAGTCTGTTTCTGTGGGTAAAGGCTGGCGGGAGAAGGAAAAGCAGGTGACCCCAGAGCCCCAGGCACAGCAGTCTGCCAGCGTCAGCCTCCAAAGATGATGTCGCCCAGCCAGGACAGGGCGAGGCCGGAGCACTCTGGGGCACGTGCAGGGCTCTGTTTCAGGAACTCCTTCCTATCCAAGGCCCCCCAATTCCCATCCATATTTGAATTTAGTTGAGTTTGAGTGTCTGCTGCATGCTAGGCTTTGTGGCAGACAGAAAAAATGGCAGTAATGATAATGGCGGTAGTCCTAACAATAGTAACGTGGGATATTACTAGTCCCCACCTCATAGGTGCTGTAAGGATTAAATGAGATCACGCACATAAAGTACTTAGCACGTAGTACCTGGCGCATAGTAAATACTCAATCACTATTACCCATTTCTGAGGACACTGAGGCTCAGAGAGGTCAAGTGTCTTTCCCAAAGTCACACAGCATGAGAGTCTGAATCAGGGAGCTCCGATCTAATGTAGGAGATGGACAGTCCCTCACAATCCAGTGCTAGGTGAGCTAAGGGAAGGGTCAGTGGTCCAGGGGGACTTCAGACTGGGTGGTGTCAGGAAGGCCCCGTGGAAGAGGTGATATTTCCATCGGGCCTCACAAGGTGAATGGGCTGTCTCCATGGAGGTAACTGCAAGTCCAAAGGCAGGGAGGTAAGAAAGAGGGTGCTTTGGTGCTGGTGGGGTCAGTGGTTGGGCAGTGTGGCTGCAAGTAGATGGTGAAGAGCCTTGAGTACATGCAGAGGAGCGACCCCCGGTGACAAGGACCCCACTGACTGTACCTTGAGAGGCAGTATGGTACAGTGGTTCCAGACCCGGACTCTGGAGCCAGCCTGCCTGGGTGAATCTATACATGGGGCTGGTAGCAGCATGTACCCCCATAGCAGGAGGAACAGGCAGGAGTGCTCGGTATATTCCTCCACCTCTGCCAGCCTATCTGCCAGGCACCACGTGGCTTATTGTGCCCAGGAGAGCACTCGGTTCCATCTGAGATGCCTTGAGTCTCCCGGTCCCCAGATCTCTTCCTTCTGAAGGCACGTGCTGCAGAGGCTGTGAGGACGCCGAGCCCACCTGGGCGCATGGTGCGCGGCTGCCAGGAGTTGCTGGGCACGAGCAGGATGCCAGGCTGGAAGCTCGCTTCACAGCAGAGTGAAATCCTAATTATTGCCGGGCAGGCACTTGGCAGGCACGCGGGTTTGACCCCAGGGCTGGGATTCTCAGAAGGTGGTTACTTAGGATGGGGCCAGCCAGGGCCATCTGCTCCAGGAGGAGGGTGTGGGGAGCACACGCCTGCGTGGATGGGGAGGTTTGGTTGGGGGTGGCACGGGGGTGTTTTCTGGGTTGTCTGCCTTTGGAGATTCAGACAGGGAAGCTATACCTCCAGCACCCTCTGGGATTCTCCTCTTTCAACAGCCAGTTGCCCGAACAGCAGGAGTGGAATGAGCTCCTGCTCTTATTGGCCAATTTTGCTCCCATGGTGGGTGCCCGGCACCTGTGCCCTCAGCTTGGGGTGAAGTCTGGGCTGGCCTTGCCTCTGGGCGGGCCGCAGCTGTCTGCACCCCGACTGTTGCCAAGCAGACATGGCTGTCAGTTGGTGGGGGCCCTGCTGGAGCAGCAGGTATTTCTTACTCACACTTTCTGGAGTGCTGAGATGTTTCCAAGCAACTGAGAGCGCCTGGCCAGCCCGGCGTTTCCAGTTCAGGCTTTGTCCGCGCACACTCCCTGCCTGAGCAACACCGCGCTCTGATTCATCTCGGGGTCTTCCCGCTCTGGCCTCCATCCATTTTTTTTTTTAACCAGCTTCCCCCCAATCCTCCAGGCCCCCGTGCACCTGCTCTTTGATTTATGCATGGCTCCTTCCCCTCCAAGGAAGGTGACCACCCAAAGCCAGGACTCCCGTCACTCCCGGGCGGCAGCTTGAGCCATTGCCAACTGGGTGTCTTAACACACACCTGTCCTGGTCTCTGGAATTGGGGAGCTTGGATGGGGATATTGGGGAGGGGCTCAGTGCTGGGGGCCCCACTCCTACAAGGGAAATCCCAAAGGCAGCTCTGGCCTGACCTCTGTAGACCTTTCCTTCCTTTCCTCCCTCTTTCCCTCCCTCCCTCCCTCTTTTCTTCCTTCCCTCCTCCCTTTCTCTCTTAAACAGCTTTATTGAGATATAATTAAGGTGCTATACAATTCACCCATTTAAAGTGTACAATGCATTGGTTTTTAGTATATTCACAGAGCTGTACAGCCATCACTGTAATCTAATTTTAAAACATCTTATCACCCCCAAGAGAAGCTCCATTGGTGGTCGCTGCTTATTTTCCCTCCCACCTCCCAGCCCCTGGCAACCACTGATCCACTTTCTTTCACTGGCCTCCGTTGGTGAAGCAGCTGTAAACAGTGAGGCCAGCCCACGTGCTGAGGTGCTATGACCCCTCCCTTGCACCAGGCCTGTAGCTTCCAGAATCTCAGAGTTGCTGGCATCCCTTCCGACGGACCCATTCGCTTCCCCCGGGCTGTGGCACTGGGAAGGTCACCAGCCCACCCTCCTCATTTACCTAGGGAGGGGCATGAGACCCAGAAAGGGGAGGAAATCTGCCCGAGTTCACACAGGAGACATCTCGTGTGTCATGTACCCACCTTTGCCTGTACTCCAAGCTGCCCTCCTCTAGTTGTTCTTATAACACGGTACTCAGTTTCTCCATCTGTAAAAAGGGAATGTTGCGAAGCTTAAACAAAAGCAAGGTCAGTCCTGTATGTAGAGGTTAGCCCTGTGCTGGGCATGCAGGTGAAAGCTGAGTTGACTTAGATCAGATTCCCACCCTGGCATTCAGGGCCCTGCATATTCTAGTTGTTGCGGGTGGGTGGAAGTTCATCCCTTCCCTCCCCTGGAGACAGCAGATGGAAGCCACTGAAACTACAGGGATCCTAGTCACTTCCCTGTCACCTGGAAGCTGGTGATGTCGGTGGGGCGGGCAGAAGGTTGAGAGTGGTGGTGATGACTAAGCCCCGAGAGCTGTGGGAGTCTGGCTCATTAGCAGCGTCAAAACTTCCCCTTGCTGTTTGCAAACAAGGGCCACCCTCGGAGGAGGAGGACGGGGTTGGGAGGAGACGCTGGGGCTGCCGCAGAATGGGGCAAGGCAAGGCGATGCTACAGTAGATGCTACAGTATAAAGGCAGCGGCGGCAGGGTGGTCGGAGGCTGTGGCTGAGGTTTTCCGGGAGCACCTGACTTCCCTTACCTGGCTGCTGCCCTGCCCCCACCTCCCCACCCAGGAGGGATTTTCTTCCAGAAGTATCCTCCGTCTAGGATTGCCCAGAGTGCTCCTGGACCTCAGGATGCTGGGATGTCCCAGGACCCACCTGGGAAGGCATCTGGGGGCTTAGGAGCAGCCGGGGAAAGCAGCATGGAGTCAGGGCGCTCGGCCCCACCCGGCCCAGCCCAGCGGACAGAAACTCCCAGCCCGAGCACCCCGTGTAAGAACTAGACACTCCCCTCTGGTGACAGCCATCGCTCAGATGTCTTTTTATATGCTTCACGGGAGAACCAGCCAGGGTGCGAATTCCAAATCCAAGAGAAAAACTGTAAATTAGCATGAAAAGTAGTTCTTGTCAAAAAGTGCTGCCAACCGCAGTGTAAATTTGGTACACCCCTTCTGAGGGGCAATCTGTCAACGTGTTTAGAAAGTGGAAAAAAATGCTCCGACTCTTGATTGAGAACAATTTTGTGAAATCGACAACCCCTTTTCCCCCTCCCCTCTACCCGCTGCTCCGGAGTGAACTGGCTGTGGGGGGGAGACGGCCACAGCCATGCAGTTTACAAAAGCCAGAAAAGGGCAGCTACTCAAATATGGGCCCCCGTGGGACGGGCAGCTCAGTCGGGCAGGGCCTGTCAGTGGAATATTACGCAGCCATTTAAGATACTTTTCAGTCATTTTTAGTGAGTGCCAGGTGTGTCCCAGGCACTGGGACCCTGGTGCTGAATGGGGCCTCAGCCTCATCCTCGGTTTGGGGTCTGTAGTTCAGAAAAGAGCAGGCCTTAGTAGGAAAAAGTTACGTGGAAAATGTTAAAGAAAAAAAAAATTTTTTTAAGAGACGGAATTCCACTATGTTGCCCAGGCTGGCCTCAAACTCCTGGGCTCAAGAGATCCTCCTGCCCCAGCCTCCGGACTAGCTGCGATGACAGGTGTGCGCTACCATGCCTGGCACTTATTAATGGGATTCGAAGTGAGAAAAGGCAGAGTAGAAAATTCTATCCACTCTCTGCCTCCCATCAGAAGTGCAGCGTGTGTTTGTAGAAAGGCTGATTGTGTTCCAGATGCCAGGCTTGCTCTAATTTACGTGTATGATAACCCAGTGGGCTAGGAACTAGTACTACCCTGATTTCACAGGAGAAACTGAGGCACAGAGGAAGCGACTGAGCCAGGGTTCAAACCCAGGTCTGCGTGGCCCCAAACCTACTTTTAACCCTTGCTCTATACTGTCTCTCCTTAATAGAGAAATGATGTCTGCTCAAGCTACCAGAAAGAAAAGTCCAGGCCAATGACAATGGACTAGGGTGGTGGGATTTGGGATTGGGGTTTTTACCCCAATTGTTGGTTTTCTATTACATTTGTGCAGAAAAAAATTTAAAGTTTTAAAACAACAAAAACCGTCCGGGTGTGGTGGCTCACACCTATAATCCTAACACTCTGGGAGGGCCGAGGCAGGAGGATCACTTGAGCTCAGGAGTTTGAGACCAGCCTGAGCAAGAGCAAGAGCAAAACCCCATCTCTACTAAAAATAGACATAACTAGCTGGGCGTGGTGGCATGTGCCTGTAGTCCCAGCTACTCGGGAGGCTGACGCAGGAGGATCGCTTGAGCCCAGGAGTTTGAGGTTGCTGTGAGCTAGGCTGACCCCAGGACACTCTAGCCTGGGTGGCAGAACGAGTCACTGTCTGGAAAAAAAAAACAAACAAAAAAACAACCCACAACAAAACAACAAAAACCACCACCTAGAATTTGCAGCAGATGGAGAGAAATGAATGAGGAAATGGGGAAAAAGTAGGAATGGCGTTAATAATGCACGTCTTGGCTTAGAACCAGGAGATAGAACCATTTAGGAGCAGAAGTGAAGCCGGGGAGTGTTTGGGTGGTGGTGGTGGGAGACCCGTGAGTCAGAGGAGGGGTGGGGCGGAGCTTATCTGGCTGGGCTTCTCACGGGGCCATTCTTGCTAAATCTTTTTATTACCTGGTGCTTAAGTACATTATCTCCTCAGTGTTTGCATTCCTCTCATTTTTCAGACTACAGGAAATGATAAAGTTAAAAAAAAAAAACAGGCCTCTCTTTGCTTTCAACCTTGGAGTGCTAGGAGGGAGGGAATCTGTGAAATTCTTTCCTGGATCATAAAGAGGTTTTAGGTTGCCCTCACCTGAGAGGGCAGCTCTCTTGAGTCTAGTCTCCCCATCGTCTGGGTATTTTAAAGCAAGGTGGTTTTAGTGGGGGGGGGGCGGTCGGGGGGAGATTGCCTTGGTTCTTTGTAGGGACCTCTGAAAATGGGAGAATTGTTTCCTCTTACTAACACAGCTTTTAGAAAGGAAGGGACACAGGCAGCAGGAAGGGGATTGGGGGAAAACAGTGGGAATGGTACCATTTGTTCAAATATTGATCGAGCTGCTGGCGCTGAGTCTAGAGCACACGGGGGTGAGAGCAATTTACAGTCCCTCCAAGGGGGGGAACTGTAACCACCCCCCGACCTAGCACTGAGGAGCTAGCAGGGGTGAGCCTTGTGCCATTCCCGCTAACATGCTCAGGGGTTGAGTGATGTGCCCGAGTCCTGCAGCTGGTGAGGGACAAAGCTGGGAATCGAACTCATGTTCGTGGGGCCGGGTACAGAGCCCGGCCCTTCACCTCCAGGGGTTCCCCTGCAGTTCTTCCTGCAGTGTCCCTGACGGATGATTGCAGGTGTACTGGAAAGTCTGGGTTCAAAACAGCAGCTAATGCAACTCTTAATTCCAGAATGATGTTCTCTAACTTCAAGAACTGTCTAGTACCCAGAATGACGAGGGGACACGCACTTTTCACAGCTGCAGTGACCACATTCAAACAATTGCTGACGATCCTTCTCTTACTTCCTTTTGGTAGGAATTGTCACTGCTTGACATGGGAGGAAAGTCTGTTTGGACATGTTGCACGTTCTCTGTTCTTCCCCTCTGAACGCTAGCTACGTGGTTTGTGGGTTTATTCAATGAATGTGTTGTGATACCAGGTCATGAGTTAGGGTCCACTGAGGCTCTCCCTGAGAGCGAGTAAGGAAAGGGCCCTGCCCTCAAGGAGCCGATGGTGTAGACAGGAAAGCCATTACAATCCAGTGTGAGGGCTGTCGCAGCGGGTGAGGTGAGCCGAGCCTGCCTGCTGGTACCTGGGAGGGTCAAGGAAGGTGACCTCTAAACTTAAAGGAGGGAGGAGCAGGAATTGGCCAGGTAAAGGTTAGTGGAGGCAGGTGGAGTGGAGTGGAGGAGAAAGGCCTCGGGGCAGGGAGGACAACATTTGCAAAGGTTTGGAGGAGATTGGATCTCAAGTTAAATGTTAAAACTGGGAAATCATGTAAATCTTATCTGTGCTTTAAATTGGCTTGCTGTGAGAATCAGATCAAACCCAATCTGGCTTTTCCTTTCCCCTCTTTCCTTCCCTTTGGGGAGAAGAACTCTCGGGCCATTGGGTGCTTCTCTGATGGATGCCTGAGAGGTAAGGGGTTTCAGGCCCTTTGAACTGGAAGATGACACTACTGACGCCTGCCTGGGGACAGCGTGGATATGGGTATGGATTTGCAGTGTGCTGCCCACTGCTTTTCCTCTGGCCCTCCCTGACTAGCTATGCCTCTGCCAGAAGTGGGCAGGAAGGATCAAGGCCAAAGGCTGAACTTGAGTCCTCACTCACAGGTTCGGGACCTCAGTGTTGGCATGGCCAGGTTTCAGCAAATCTTCCACCTTCCCTGTGGCCAGGGGAGAGGTAGCTGCCTCCACATAAAACCATCAGTGAAGTTTTCGGCACAGAAATGACCTTCGAGTCAGTGTGTAGTTCCTGGTGACATTGTGCATTCTTAAATTTCAACCATCATGAAACAATTAACTTTTACGTTTTAAGTCAGAGTTTTGCTAGAATTCCAAAAATGCTTCCTCCTTAACATCTCAATATTTTTGTTTCCTTTCCTGGTGGTTTGATCTTAGTAAACTCTTCTTTTTGGGGGGGCAGGGGGAGGGGACAGAGTCTCACTGTGTTGCCCAGGCTAGAGTGCCATGGCGTCAGCCTAGCTCATAGCAACCTCAAACTCCTGGGCTCAAGCGATCCTCCTGCCTCACCCTCCCGAGTAGCTGGGACTACAGGCATGCACCATCATGCCCGGCTAATTTTTTCTATATATTTTTCGTTGTCCAGCTAATTTCTTTCTATTTTTTTTAGTAGAGACGGGGTCTCGCTCTTGTTCAGCGTGGTCTCGGCCTCCCAGAATGCTAGGATTACAGGCGTGAGCCACCTCGCCCGGCCTTAGTAAACTCTTATACCTACGTAGATATGACAATACTGTGTGTGTGTGTATGCACACACCTACTGGACTCATAGCTCAGCTCTGTCACATGCTAGGTCTGTGAAGGAACTTTCTGAGGCTCAGTTTCCTCTCCTGATGTGATGTGCCCACCTCCTAGGGTGTTCAGAGTTGGGATTTTGTTTATAAACAGCTTAGTGAAGTGGTTGGCACAGTGTTAGCTTTGAATAAATGGTATCTATTATGTGTACAGAAAAAAAGACTGCATAAAAGTGCTGGCAGCATTTATCTCCAGTGGGCGGGATTATGGTTACAATGAACATGCATTACTTTTATAATCAGAGAAAAAGAACGATAAATGTTATTATTTTAAAATCTAGCTTTGGCTTTGTCGGAAGGAACCTGCAGTTACTGTCAATGTACCAACTCCCAAGTAAGAGGAGTCCTCTGGTTTTACAGCAAGACTTAAAGACAGGCACGCTGCCCACCCCCACCCCTCCCATCAACTAATAGAGACTGTAGCAAAGGGAGGTACCTGGTCAGACATCTAGAGGAATTTCACCTCCGTCCAACCTTGCAGTGCCCCGACCACTGATGTTTGGGGGCAGGGGGATTCAGAGAAGGTGTCTCTCAAAGTAAGGCTTTGTCTCTCACTGGGAGGGTTCTCCGGGTTCTTGGCTGGAAATCTGACTCTCCAGGGAACGAGTCCAGGAGAGTGACATTTACCCTCTATTGGGCCTCCGCTCAGGAATCTCAGTTAGAAAATAAACATGCACAAGTCCACTTCCAGCTGGGGGACTGTGACTGTCCTGGTCTGACATCTAGGATAATCCGAGGCCCAGGCCCTTGGCGCTGTCCCTGGTCAAGATTCTTGACTGCCAGCCCAGTGCCCCCGCAGCCGCAGGAGACAGAGCCCACCTGGACTTTGAGACCGGGCTCCAGTCCTCTCTGTGCTCCTCCCCCTGGACCATCCCCAGCCAAGCAGGAAGGGGCAGAGTGCCCACCCCACTCAGGTCATCTTCAGAACCGTCAGCCTGCACTGGGCTGGGTTCTGAGCGGCTTTTTTCCTCCTCTTTGGCACCCTGTGTGTGTGTGCGTTTCTGTGTGTGGTGGGGGGTGGATATTGCTGCCGGCTCCGGAATAAAATGCCGCCTCTGTTCGGGAGACAAAGCACAGAGTGGCTCCTCCGGTCAGCTGTCTCTCCTGCCCGCCAGCCCCTGGCCGCCGCCAGCAGCTGCTGAGGCTCTGGGCGCCTGGTAAGGCGGCCTTCGGGGCTAGGCTGGGAGCTGCAGCACTACCGGCGTTTTCACTGGAGCTTGAAAGAGCATTTTACCTTAAAAGACCCCAAGCAGCTTTTCTGCTCTGGAGATGTTCATTTGCAGGGGTGGGCTTGGGTGGGGGCAGAGGTGCTGGGCAGCCTGGCTTACGGTTGGTGCCAGAGCGAGCGAGAGCAAGCGTGTGCCCCAGCGCGTGTGGGGACACGGGAAGGTGTGTGCATGCCCCACCTCGTGTGTGAGAGCAGGTGTGAGAAGGGTGCGTGTGTCGCTCCAGCCCGCGAGAGTTTTGCACTGCGGTTTGAGGTGGTGCAGAAGTACGCGTGGCCCACCTGGCGTGCGGCTGTGTGTGCGAGCCTGGGTGCGGGCGTGGAGTAGCGTGAGTGCTCGTTCGGGAACGCACGAGCACGTGCGTCGGTGCGTGTGCACCGGCGTGTGCGGGGCGCGGGGAGGCCCGGCGTGTGAGTGCGAGCGTGCGGGGGCGCGTGCCCTGGCCGGCGCGTGCGCGTGGAAGCGGCACGCACGCCGCCCCCCGCCGGGGTCGGAGCCGGTTGCCATGGGAACACGCCGCGGCCCGAGTTAATCATTTCCTGTGGAAAGTGTGCGGGAGGGGCGGAGCGGGCGGAGAGGAGGCGGCGGCGTGGAGCTGCCTCCCGCCGGCGGGCCGGGCGCTGCGGCGACGCCGGGATCCTGCGTCCGCCAGGCCGGTGAGTCCGGAGTCGGGGGCCGGGCGGGCTGGGGGGCGGCTGGGCGCTCGGGCTCCGCCGGTCCCGCTCGGGGCGCTGTGTCCGGGCGGCCCTGTCCGTGGGACCCGTCTGCCCGGACCCGCGGGGGACGCGGGGAGGGCCGGGCCGAGACCCAGCCCTGCGAGGTAACCCCAGCAGCGGCAGCGCGTTCACCCCAGAGCTAGGCAGGGGGCGGCGTGTCCTCTGGGATCGGAGCAGCCTCGGACCGGTTCTGAGGGAGCACAGAGCCTACCCGGGAGTGTCAGTCAGCGCCGCCCCTCTCCTTGCAGGGGTGTCCCCCACCCTCAGGGCTCCCTTGAAGGCTGCTGTTTCGGGTCCTTCCACCACATCCCTTGGGCAATTCGCCTTATCCTTGGCAGGACCAGGGGTGGGCTGTGCCAGCCCCGAGGTTAGGAGGGAGGGCCTTGGCCAGTGAGGAATTGGGCCATTGACAGCCACAGCTGGGGGGTCGCAGCAGGGAGGGTGAACCCGGAAGCCACCCCCTTCAAGCCACGCTGCCAGTTACAGCAGAACTCTGGCTGGCACAGCAAAGGGCCTGGGCCTGGGAGATTTTAAAGAGGAAGCTGTATTTAAATTCGCAAGTACCATTTGTCACTCCTCACCTCCAACACATCTGTCTCAAGGTTGGGGGTTGTGGCCACCCCTGGCCTTTCACCTTCCCTGGCTTTGCCTCTGCCCGGATGTACTTCCCACGTCCTTGATAGAGTAGCGTCTCCTTGGTCAGGGAAAGTCATTTGCTAGGAATGCAGCCTCAGAATGGGGCCCTGTATTTGCAGTGACTGAACTTTAGGGGCACAGAGTGGTGAGTTCTGCCCTTCATATGGCACCAGGGAGCGGAGAATTTGAAATCTGGTTTGCTCTGGGAAACCCAGGGTGTGTGACTATGTGCAAAGGAGATCCCAGCCCCTGTCCAACCTCCCCAACCTTCTGCCTGCTCCCCCAGGGGGACCAAGCCCTCCCCAGCAGGAGTCTCTGGGCAGCTGTCAAGTCTGTGCCCCAAGTTTTGCAATGTCCCTGGTCTAGGGCAGGTGGGAGGGCTGCAGCTCTGCCCCCCTGGCCTAAACCTGGAGAGACAGCTAGATACTCTCGCTTCCTCCAGCCCCTTTGCCTTCACCCACCACTGGAGTGAAGTCACTGAAAAATAAAATTCTTGAGCTCTTTGTACGTGCCCGTATCGTTCTGAACACTTTATACGATGTGCATTGTCTCATCTTTTCACCAATCCTATAAGGTAGAGTTCTCCCCATTTTATAGGTGGAGATAATGAGGCATAGTAATGCTCCCAAGGTCACACATCTAATGGATAGTAGAGCAGGGTTCTGAACCAGCAGGCTTCTGAACCTGTCCCTCTGCCCTACCCCATGAATCCTAGGTTGGTAGAGGTCCTAGGACATTAGGTTGGGTATCGAATGCCCATGCAAATGAGGAGCCAAGAGAGTGCTGCTTTCTTGGCTCAGAACCCCCGGCTTATTTGAGATTCACTGATACTTTTGACCTCACACCCCTCCGGCTGCTAAATTCAGCTGCTTTTTCCTCTTTGGGATCTAGCACACACCCTTCCTCTTTCTTCCCGACATCTTCCTGGCGGCCTCCCCAGCTTCCCTTCCTGATAGTCACAGAAATGTTATCTCCTCCTGTCCCTGCCCCTTAGGGTTAGCGGACCTCCCTGAAAGTCTTCTCCCCCCAGCGTGCAGTCAGCTTGCGGTGCCCTGCACTGTCTCACCTTCTCAGCAGCTGGGCAAGCAGATGGACCTGTCTCTCTTCTCCCTTGCCCATTGGGCAGCTGCTCTGCGGGGTTGGTTGTGTGCCCAGTGCTGTGCCAGACAACCTGGGGGAGAGGGCGCTTAGTTTCCTGCATGCCACATTGCTCCATCTTAATTTCCTCAGAGCCGGCCCACGTATTTGGATTAGCCTCTGCCCTGTCCTTTGGCCCACATTCCTGTTCCTTTGCAGTGCAACCGTACCCAGGAGCCCCCCCACCCCCCAGTTGTCTTTTTCAGTCAAGGAAGGAAGAGACTGGGACGCGCTGGCCAGGAGCCTGGCGCTCTTCCAGGGCTGGGCTCTGCAGGCGTCACATGGCAGATCTTCAGGCCCCTACTCTGGACTCTCAATACTTCAGTCATTCCTGCCCCTCGGTCTCCCCAGCATGCGCAGTTGTCCCCCGCTCTAAACACCACATCCTCCCTGTCGCGTCCTGGCCAAACTTCCCCGAATAGAAGGAAGTGGCTGCTTCCTCCAGCTCCTACTCCACTCCTTGAGCCCCCAAGTCCGCCCATCACCCTTCTCTCCCTGAGAGCCCCCAGGGCTTTCTGCCTGTCTCGGTTTCTTCCAGCTGTCCGTGCCTCTGTGGCGTGGCTCGCCGGGAACGGACTCTGCCCTCCTTCCCACACGCTCTCCGGCCACTTCTGAGGACTCTGCATGCGCCTGGCATGCCTGCCACCTCTGACCTTCCTTCTCCAACTTCCCACCCCCAGAGCGACCTCTGTCCCCACCTAGCTGTCTCTCCTCTTGCTCAGCCTTTGGTGACTGACTCCCCACCTGCGGCATCGGTGGCCCTATGTACCTCCGACTCTTGGTGTCCAGCCCTGACCTCTATTCTGGGCTTTAGTCTGAGCTTTTGTGTGTGTTTGTTTCAGGACGTTCACCAAATAAGCCATCGCAGAATACTTGGTTTGGGTGCACCTCCAGGCTGGCTGCCATGGGGCTGCAACGATGAACGTGCCGTGAGCTCCGCCCTATCTTTACTGCCTGGCAGGAAGTGGTCTCTGCAGCAAGGAATGGGGATAGGGGTCTTGCAGCCCAGGTAGCTCCACTAGGAAGCCCCTTGGGTGCCCCCAACTCAGTCAAAACCAAAAGCAAACCCCATGTTGCCTCTCCAAGCTGACTTTGCTTTTTCTGCAAATGGCATCACTGTCTGAGTCTGGGATAGTAGCTTGATCACCTTAAATGCTCTCAAGGCTGCTTTGCACATAGTAGGTGCTCAGTAAAGCCTTATGCAGTGGAAGCTTGAACTCTGTTATTTGTTCAGTTCATGAGGGACCTGTGGGGCTTTCTATCCTCAACCAGTGGCCCCCCCATTCCCCATGCCACCTGGTACCTGGCACATACCTCCTACCTCCCTGAATCCTGTTCAGATTGTGAGAGTGTTTTGAAGTCTTTATCTCCCTTTTGACCGGGAGCTTTGAGGCCACATCTCTCCTGATCAAAGAGGGCCCCTGGCAGGTGCCTGGCATATAGTAGGTATTTATATGTAATTATTAAGTGAGGGCTGGATAAATCTTTGTATCTCAACACCTAGCACGGTGCCTGCTGCTTCCTAGGCACAGAGTGAAGGCCAGTGGAGTATGTGAATGAGGTGACTTTAAGGGGACTTGCTGTATCCCCCCGAGTGAAATGTTAGCATTCAGGGCCTTAGCCGCTTGGCAGACAGGGCTGGGGTAGAGGAGCCTGAAGCCTAAGGGTTAAGCATGTGGTTAGCTGCAATTAGAAAAATAAGATGTCTTGAAGAAAAAGGATCAGGCTTACCGAGATGCTGCTGACTTCTGGCGCTTCCTCCCTGTGGGGTTGTGACCTGGCACGTCTTCGTGCCGCTGGGCTCAGGGAGGAAAGGCTCAGGTGTGGGGTCTCCACAGGGCGCCGCAGACACACCTGCCATGCTCCTTGCCCACTTCCGGGCCTCCCTGTTTGGTAACAGCCTCCATCAAATGGGTACAGGCCCCATCTCATCCTGTGAACCCGGGGGTCCTGGGGGGCCACTGCGGCTGGGTCTGCAGCCTTGAGTAACGGGCGTCCTTCCGGATGGCCGGCTCTGCCCAGAGGTGCCAGTCGTGTCCTCAAGCTGGTCTCCCCTTGTTCTTTCCGCAGGCTGCCCGGCGCCCGGAGGAGGCTGCTGAGCCCCGGGCCATGGTCCCCTCTCGCAGGACGTGGAACCTGGGAGCCACGCCCTCGCTGCGGGGCCTGTGGAGAGTGGGCCGGGCCGGGGAGCCCGCGCCGGGGATGGCTCGCCCCGCCCCAGCCCCAGCCAGCCCGGCCGCCCGCCCTTTCCCACACACCGGCCCGGGGAGGTTGAGAACTGGTGAGTCCGCATTTTTAAAATGCCTCTTTATTTCCCTTCCTTCCTCCAGATACCAGAGATGAGACTGAGGTTTCTCACCGGTTCCTAAACCCGGTCAGAGCTGTCAGGTAATTACAGGGTAACCGGCAGCCCCAGAGCCCGGGCGGGCGTGGAGTCGGGCGTCAGTCCCGCCGGGCGCTGCTTCCCTGCGCCCGTCTGGAAGGAGGCCTCTCGGAAGCCGGTTAAACTTTAACACAGGCGGGAGCGCTGGGGGACGGCTGCGCTCCTCTGGCCCAGGCGGTCGGAGCCCTGCGCTGCCGCCGGTCCTTGGCCGAGGCTGGTAAACAAGGTAGGTGAAGTGGCTGCCTGGCGTCCGCGCCGCCACTGACACTTGATCCCGCCTCGGTTGGCCCCTGGACGGCGTTTGGAGCCAACCAAGCGAGGTTGCTCAGAGCGTGGCTGGCGGGGCTTGGGTGCCATGTGCTCAATCTCAGGTGCTTCTGTAGAGCCCCCAACAGCAGGTGGGCTGTGAAGGGGTCCCAGAGTCTGGGCCCCTTTTGTCCCCCAGGGAGCTGTCAGCACCGGCTTGCCTTTCTGGGTCACGTCCCCCGGTGCCGCGAACTCAAGAAGCGAGTGGCTGCTCTGATTCCTGGCGGGGGCTGGACTGCTGGGGAGCCGCCACCACCCTTTCCCCGAGCGCGGCGTGGGCAGGTCGCCCTGCTCGTGTGGGGGGAGAGGGCTCTGCAGGCAAGGTGCCTTGAGGAGTTTGTCTCTGTCACTCCTGACCTACGGGAAAGGGGCTTAGATTGCCAGCCTTTCCGAGCTAGCAGAGTCCCTCTGGGCCATCAGGTCCAAGCTCCTTGATGTACAGAAGGGGAAACTGAGGCCCAGAGAGGGCACACAGCAAACACCTGGTTGTTTCCTCTCTCCCACCACACTTGTGCTGTCAGTGGCAGCCACAGTGATGCTTTCAGAGGTGTCTGCTTCTGTGGTTGCCTGGGGCTGGTTACACCCGACCAGCACAGCCTGGCTCGGGAGGGCCCTGGGGGCCTCTGGGAAAAGCTTGGGCTCTTGGGTCAGGTAGACCCAGTTGTCTGAAAGGGGCAGAGGATGGTCTGCACCCCACGGGGTTGTCCTAAGGTTTACAAATGTAATGTGAATATTGCTTTTCCAGTAAGACAATATTTTCCCTTGGAAAACAAAACAAAAAACCACAGAAAAATATAAAAAAGAAAATGATCACCTAAGCTAGTCACTGAACATTTTATATAGTTGCTTCCAGTCCTGTGTGTTTGTTTATGTGTGTGTGTGTGTGCATGTATGTCTGTTTGTTGGGTTTTTTTTTTTTTTTGTGTGAGTTGGTTTCTGTCTGTCGGGCTGGCTCGTGTTGGGTTGTTTGTTGCTCGCTGCCAGCTCCCTCTCCTTGGTTGGCTTGATTGTTCTTCCTGCGTGTGCCTCGTAGGTGGGTGTGGCTGTGTGTGTGTGCCCCCTCAGTTGGTTTTTTTTTTTTTTTTTTGTGGTGGTGTCTTCTTCTTGTTGCTGCTGGTGTTGTGGTCCTGCTGGCTGCGATCGTTCCTCCTTGGTTTGCTTCCTTGCTTGGTTTGCTTGCCTGCGTGAGCCTGCCTGTCCTGTTTATTGAGTGTTTTTTATATTGCTTGCCCGTCCATACTTCTTTCTACTTACTTTAGATGTCGGTTGAATTCCTTTGTTTTGTGCGCCGCGATGGTGGTTCCTTCTTCTTGGTGTCTTCTCTGCTTCCTCTGCTGCTGGTGGGCTCTTCTGAGCTCCTCCCCCCCCTTCTTGTTGTCAGCGGGGGGTGGTCTTGTGGCGGGTTGTTTGTTATGTGGGATTTGAATATGGGCTCCATGTGACCCTGGGCACGTTGTTAACACTTCTGGGCTTCTGGTTCTTTGCCTATCAGGACGCACCGAGGGAGAGTAGGGACCTGCCTGTGCCTCTGTGTCCCTGGGTGGTGGTGAGCTGATTGCAAGTGTGGTCCTAATGGCCTGTACTGTGGGCACTTTCTAGGTGCCTGGCACTGTGTGGGCACTTTATATGTCTCATGTCATTTCATCCTCACTACAGGGCTGTAAGGTTGGTTCGTTAGCCCCATTTTACTGACAAGTAAACTGAGGATCGAGAAGGGCTGTAGGGCCAAGAAAGCACTTGGCCCAGTGGCTGGTGCTCAGGATAGTGATTCGTCCCAGGCCAGTGCCTCTGCAGTTTGCCGCTGTGAGCGTCTGTCCCCCGTGCAGCCCTGCAGGCTGCGGCAGGTGGTGGGGGCGGAGGTGGGTGGAGGGGGCATCCATGCCAAGGTCCGCCCTCTCCCCCACGGGTGAGGGAGGTGGTGTGTCAGAGGGATGAGGGGATGTGCTTTAGCTGGGTCGGAATATGCCTTCGGAGACAGCAGAGATGGGGCCACCCTGCATGGGTTTGGTCTTAATGAAGGCAGGGGAGAAATTGCCACCTAGAGGCAGCCAGGGTAATGAAGCCACAGCCCTGGTGCACCTCCTCGAAGCCTTGCGCAGGCCAGTTGGAATGGGCTTCCTTCTGCTGCTCTGTCAAGCAAGTGCCAGCCCCCGAAGCCACTGCTGGGGGGAGGGGAGCTCCTGGTGGGGTCCTGGGCCCCTTTTGGAAAAGAATCTTGGGGTGGCTTTTGGTAAGGAAGGAGTGTAACCCCCGCCACGTGCCAGGCCTTCCCTTCCAAGCGTAGGGCAAGCGTGTGAGGGCGTGTGAGTCCCTCCTGGTCGTGCCTGGGCCGGCCAGGAGTGTGTGAAGGCTGAGCTCAGCCTCAGCCCTGGCCAGTGGTCCACGGCCAGCAGTCTTCAGCCAGCAGTCTGCGAGTCTCACCTATTGCTCTGTTCCGGCACAGGGCGTGGAAAAGACACCCCCGTCTGCGGTGACGAGGAATCTGGTGCCCGAAGTACAGTTCGCCCAGCCCTGGCTCAGTGCCGAGCCCTCAGCGTGGACTGGACGGGCCCCGGGAGCCCTCACGGGCTCTATCTAACCGTGCAGGTGAGTGCCGTGCCTTGGTCCCCTGAGCTGCAGCAGGCAGGTCGCCGCCAGCCTCCTGGGGGAAGGAAGTGCCGAGGGAGAGCTGGGGACCCACCTTGCACCTCTCTGCCCGGCCCCTCGCAGCCCATCCACCTGTGAGCCCCTGTGGATGGAGCAATTTGCTTTATTAAGTTATCTCGGGGGAAGATCTCGTAGGAGGTGACAGAAGCTTTGCAGCCACACCCTGGCTGCGGTGTGGAAATGGGAAGTGTTGGGCCTTGGCTGGGACAAGCTGAGCCCACAGAAGGTGTTGAGAAAACAGTCAGGTTTTGAGTGGCTGTTCCTTCCCCCTCAGGCACGCGAGTCTTGGGGGACAATGCTTGTCTTTCCTTGTTGGAAGTGAGAATCCAAAGCTACACAGGGGGCTTCACCGAAACTCGGGTTCCTTTCCCTTGTAGTTATCACCAAGTGACTTTGAAAAGATGAATTTACGTATGTATGTATATTTGCTTGTAGAACTAATACGTCATGGTAACAGTAATGATAGCTACTGTTTATTGAACACTGACTTTGTGCCAGGCGTTATATATCTCATATCAGTCCTTATAATTCTCATAACAGTCTCAGGACGTGGTTACTGTTTTATCTGAGCTTTGTAGATGTGGACGTGGAGGCTCAGAGAGGTTAAGTTACTTGCTGGTGGTCACACAGTGAGCTGGGATCTGAACCACTACACACAACTAGCCTTGTAACATGTTATAAAGAATTCTCACAGGACAGAGATACAGTGCCTAGAAACTCAATGCCTCCTGTAGCCCTGTATCTTCGAGAAATCCACTGTTAAGTGTTTGGTTTTTATCCATTTATTTTTCCTTGTATAATCACTTAATTATATTTAGATGATTTTTATTATTTATTTTTACATATTATTCTGAAACCAGTTCTTTCCATCAATAGTAGTCTTGGTGGTCTCTTGCTTGTCGACATGTAGAGAGCTACCTCATTCTTTTAAACTGCTGCGTAATATTCTACAGGGTTTACCGTACATCGCCATCGAACCGGTCCTCTGTGTTGTTTCTGATTGCGGTGAGCTCCTTAGACAAATATCTGCGCGTTCATGCAGCTGTCAGTGTTGAGCATTCTCAGGGCAGCAGGGGCTCTGCCCATTTTTAGTGAACACACCCGCTCAGCAGGTATTTACGAAGCGCCCGCTGTACCGTGCTGTGCTAGGGCAGGGACACAGCGAAGAAGGGAAGGAGGCGTGAGTCCGGCAGTGGCACCAGAGCGTAACCAAGTGACCGTGAATGTGTGAGCGCAAACCTGGCAAGGGCCAATCAACGCAGTGGCGGAGGACGAAGCAGCAGAGTTGTCTGGGTGTGTTGCCAAGGCCTCCCCGAGAAAGCTTGTGTGTGAGAGGGCCCGCCGTTCCCTCACGTTCTCCTGATGTGCGCACACCGATTCCGCCCTTTCTGGAAGCCCCATTTGCACAGAGCCTCGAAGGACCACGTACAAATGGTGGGCAGGATGGGGTGTGGGAAACACACATGCCCCCCCAGCATACATGTCCTCTCCAGTGCAGACTTAAGTCCTGGCCTGGGTGGCGTGGCGCCCTAACCCCTAATGTGAACGCAGGCCCCGTGGTTGGTGTTGCTTCGGGAACAGTCTGTGTTTCGAGGTGTTTCTCGGCCCTTCTCCTGTGGTTGGTTCATCTGAAAACTGAACCAGACGGTCCTTCTTTTATCCGTAAGTTCGTGAGAAAAGCAGGTCTGGTGAGAGAACAGTTAAAGAAACCAGAGAACCTGGTCTTTGCTCTGACTTGAGCCACTGGTAGTTAAATTGGGACGCAGCGGTCAGAAACCCGCAGCCTCAAGCTGGGTGGTGGCTCTGTTCTTGAGCTTTGATTACGGGGTGCTGGGTTGTGGTTGCAGCCGAGTCCTGGGGTCAGCAGATCTGCGGAGGATCGCTGAGAAGGTGCCGCCAGCAACCAGCTTCCATGTTCACGTCCTTCCGGGCCCCTGGAAAGCTCTATTATATTTAGAGGTGCTCCCAGGTCACAGATGCGGGGCCAGAGTGGGTCCCAAGCACAGTGAGGTGACTGAGTAGGCTTGGTGACTCCCCCGCCCCAGCCTGAGTCCAGTGGTTAAAACCTGAGACGCTCCCCACCGAGGTGCTACAGAAATTCCCAACCCCCCCGGGGGCCCGTCTGCCCTTCCTGTGGCTTGGCCAGCCAGAAATAGTGTAACCTTCGTGCTGGTCAGCAGATGGGAGCTCCCAGCTGTTGCCCTGACGAGCCTTCCCCGTGATGCTGTGGCAGTTGGCCGAAGGGAGGGGACGAAATAAAGTGGTGGGAATTCTTCTGAGTCCAAGGGGGGTGCTCACCACCCTCCCTTCCCCAGTGGCACGTGGGGTCTAGAGGGACAGGGTGGGTGACAAGCTGCCGAGCCTGCTGATGTCGATTTTCTCATCTTTTCAATTCTGTTTATTGGCTTTTTGATTATCAAAGTAAAAAAAAAAAAGTGAAGATTACCGGAATAACATAATAATACCGGTATACCTTGTATCGGGCTCTTACCATGTGCCAGACGCCTTCTGAGTCCTTCGCTGACGTTATCTCAGTTGCTGTTCACACAGTCTCGCTGAGACGAGGGCTGTTACAGTTTCCATTTTAAGAATGCGGGAAACGCAGCCCAGGGGAGGTAAGTAACTTGCCCACAGTCGCACAGCTTACGCGAGGCGGAGCCAGGCTTCACAGCTAGGCCTTGCGCCTTTAGACTGAGCATTTTTTAAAAGCTAACATTTGTCTTTTTGCTTTGAATTTGGGGGCACAAAGACACACAAGAATTATCTGCAGTCTCTCTTCCCAGATAACCTCTGTTGACATTGGAAAAAAAAAAAAAAACCCAAACACTGTTGATGTTCATAAGGTTAAAAATTCAAATGCCAAAAAGTTTCAAAATGAAGGCCACCTCCTTTCCCCTGTTCCCACATTCTCTCTGTTGTGAAGTTTCTTTTTATTCGGAAAAAGTTTAAATGACGCTTGTTTCTACTCAGCCACTACACTGTCACCCCCGCCTCCCAGAGAGAACTGACTGTGTGTTTCTCTGGATTGTTTTCCACGCCTGCTTTATGTTTATTATTGCACTTTCCATGTGGTTCTGCCACTTGCCTTGGGCCTCTTTCTTTGTGAGCTGTAGGTGACTTTCTCCGGTCTGTCCCCGTGCCTGTGCACTGGTCTGCTCTGTCCCAGCCTGCTTGCCTGGGCTCCTGCCTGACCGGGAGACAGGGTCCCAGGGTCCCTGGGTGGCCATGTGCGGGGCAGGGGAATGAAGGAAGCAGGGCCGGGGCCCTCCCCCTGCTCGGGTGGACTTGTGTGCAGCCTCTGTGGCAGTCACCATCTGGAGGTGGGGGGGCTGTGTGACAAGGGGTTGTGGCAGCTGACATCCTGGGGGAGTTGTGCTGAGGTTGGTGTGTGTGGAGGGGCTCGCGGGTCCCAATCAAGCAGGCTGCTGTGACTCCTGCCTCTGGAGCCTGCAGGGATGGCCCGAGCTTCCCCTAAGGACGCCAAGTGCCCACGAACTTCTTTGCTGGGGCAGAGGGCCGGCTGCTGTCTTGCTGTGGGATCTGGGCCTCATTGTCCCCACCCACACAGAGAGGCACTGGACCTGCTGGGCCCCCGGGGTCCCTCCCTGGCTCCGGGAGTGCACCGTCCTCAGGCTTGAGGGATTCCGTCCCCAGCGCAGTCCCCTTCACGCGAGGGTTCTGGTTGTGTCTTGGCAGCAGGCCCTGCAGGACAAGGGGTGCAAGGGCAAGAGTCAGGGGACGAAAGAAGAGAAGCTCCTGAAGAGGCAGGCGCCAGCCCCCAGGCGGGACCGCGAGGCCCCGGAAGCTGGCGGCGCCATGAATGTAGAGAAAACAGGTAAAGGAGGTCTGCCCGCTGACCCAGAACACCCTGGCGAGGCCAGCGCAGGAGGGACTCCCGTGGCGTCTGAGCCATCCCCAGACCCTGTCCTGCCCAGCCAGACTCTGGCTGCCCGACATGGCACTGGGAGACCCCAGCCTGCTGCCCCGGATCTGGGGGCAGCGATGTGTATATAGCCTCCCTCTCGGGTGCCACCCGCCTCCCAAAGCCACCAAGGCCCCGCCCGGTGATAAGAGGCCTTGGCCAGTGCGGGCTGGGGTTGAATTTCCCCGCTTTTTGTCTCTCCCTGCGCCTGTCAAAAGCAGGGTGAGGGTGGCAGCCTCACAGACGCCACTGCCTGCAGAGCAGCCCGGCGTCCTCCCTCCTGGCCTGGCTGGTGGGGTCTGGAGGCTCCCGGGACAGGGCTTGGATTCTCCTGCCTGGAGGCTGAGAACAAGGAGCCGGTGGTTCCGCTCTTCCGGCAAGGCCTGCTGTGGCATCCAGAGGCTGGTTGCTTCTGGAAGGCTCTACAGGGTCCCCGTATGTCATGCATGGTCTCCTGGCTCCATGCTGGGGTCCACGGTGGTAACTGGGCACAGGCATCCTCAAGGAGCCCAAGGGGAAGGCCGAGAGCGAGTGGCGGAAAAAGGAGCAGGTCGTCCTGTTGTTTTCCTCCTCTGTGGCCAAGAGGTTAATTCGCATGTCTGAACTTGCCGAGTGGCGGAAGGAGCCGCTCCGTTCTCCGAGGTGGCACCAGAGCCGCGTTCGCCTGTGCAGGACGCTCCCGTCCGGCAGCAGGTGTTGGGGCCTGGCTGAGGGGTGGGCAGGTAGGCCTTGGGAAGGGGCATCGTCCAGCCGATGAGGGGGGCCTCCCTCCCCAGGCAGCAGGAGGCTCCGAGAGGAGAGAGCCAGTTCCAACCAAGAGCGAGGACCGACCCCATCGGCAAGGCCAGCGGGGCCTGCAGCCTCCTCAGCCCGTTCCGTCCCTCGCGCCCGAGTGCCCCTTTGATCCCACCCCGCCCCCTGGTCTTCCCTGCCTCCGACCCCCCTTGGCTTCATGCAGATCTTTGCTGCCCCCGTGAGCACACTCTGGGCCCCCTGTCAGCTGCCCTGCGCCTGCACACGGCGGTGCCGGGGTCGGGGTGACCTCCTGCGACACGAGCAATGTCCCAGACAAGGCAGGCTCTCCGACGTCTCAGTTCAGCCCTGTGGCCTGTTGTGTAGCGTTCGCCCACAGCTGTACATCCCCATGGATCTGGGCTCCCTCGGGCAGAGCCCGTTGTCCCCATTTCACAGGGGAGGACCCCGAGGCGCCCTGCCACGCGCATCTCAAGTGGCAGGACCAGCTCTCGGGCCAGAGGCCAGTGCGTTCCCTGCCACACCACAGCAGTCTGCAAAGGGCTGAGGGCCACGCTGGTCACATGCCGCTCACAGCAGCCCCGCGTGCAGGCCTGGAAGCATCCGTCTGCCCTGGCTCTCTCTAGAACAGATCGCAGGAGCTCGGCCAGCTCTGTGTGACGGGCATGCTGTGTCACGTGCAGGCCACACAGCCAGGGTCACCATCCAACTGGGGACTGCCCTGCCGCAGCTCTCTGGAAGGTCTCCTGTCCTCTTAGAGTGGAGCCCGGCCATGCCCACCTACCCCTGCTCCTCCCACCCAGCCTGCACGGCCCCCCCCCCCAGCTCCCCTGTCCAGCCTAGTCCATTTGGCATCCCTGCAGAGCAGCGGACACACCCCCAGTCGGGGCTGCCAAGGGTGTGTGTGACTTCACGTGCTTGCCTGCCCCCCCAGCCTGCACGGGGCTGGGAATCCCGGGACCTAGTTCTAGAAAGCTCAGTGCCCTGGGGCTCCGAAGTGGGGACCAGGGGGCTATCTGGCTGGCAGATGTGACACCCCTCTTCATTCTTTGCTCTCGGACACTTTGCCAGCCTCCATTTGGGCAGCCTGAGGGAGGAGGCAGATCCCCCTGCCCTTCCCCCGAACTCTGCCTCTCTCCCCCGAACTCTGCCAGCTCCCGGCCTGCAGAGACCCGGCCGTGCCCGGTGCCGGGGAGCAAGCTGTGATGAGCATCCCAGCTCCACTGGCAGGTCATGGGCCTCGATTCTGTCTCTTTGCCTTCGTCGATCCGTCTGTCTCTCTCTTGCTCCCGGTGGACAGGACAGTGGAAGGCCGTGGGAGGGGGAGGAGGAGGAGGAAGGCTGAGTTCCTGCCCAGCTCGGTATCTACCACTTTCCTGTGCCTGTGTGGTCCCTATGCTCGGTCCTCACAGTGAACGCAGGGGCTGGGCTGGCCTGTCTGCGTTGCTGCCCGTGTGCTGCTGTCTCTGTGCCCTGGTCTGTCTGGCCCTCACACGCGTACACACTGCCCTTGCTCCCTCTCTGTGTGCAGGGGACCGCTTCCCGCAGGGACAGCCTGGGGAGTCCCGCTCCTCTGCTGTGTACTCTTGAGAGGGTTTGAGGTTTAAAGAAACCACGTTCCTACCAGCATGGTGTTTTCCGGGTGAAAACCTGTCATCTTTCTCAGCTGCGAGTCCTTGCAGTGTGGCCGTGGAGAGGGGCTAGCAGCCCGTGAGACCTAGAACACCTGCTTTGAGAGGAGTAGTCAGTGAAAGTTGTCTTCCTAAGTCCTGATCCAGGCAATTCTGTCCCCTAGAAGCTGCCCGCCAAAGTGGCTTCCTCTGAGACAGGCCCCTGCTAACCCATGCTACCACCCCAGCCCGAGATTATTGCCCCACGCCCTCTGCTTGCATCCCCTCCCGCTCCCCGATGGCGTGCCCCGCCGTGATGGACCCCTGTCCTCCGCCAGCCAGTGTTGAGACCTCTGCTGCCCAGCTCATCAGCCGCTGCTTTGCTCGTAGGTGGGCGGCTCTTTGGCAGCGGGAGGTGCTCAAGCCTGGCAGGGCCGCCAGGTGCGGCCCCCGTGGTGCATAGGATGGTGGAGGCCATGTCCCGGCTTCAGGAGGAGAAAGCCCAGCTCCAGGAGGAGCTGGCGGTCCTACAGGAGCAGCTGGTCCTCCGCGACAGTGACCAGCAAGCCACATCCACCCAGCTGCAGAACCAGGTACCTGGGGAAGCTGGAATGGGCAGAGGCCACTGCCCACGGCAGAGCAGGTCATAGGACATTACCGCGGGCACCTGGCCTCTCCAGGCCGCTGGCATAATAAGAGGAGACCGGTGGGATCTCCTCTTCTGGCTTGGGAGGTGGTGAGAGTCAGCGGCCTGGGCCTCCCACCCCGGTCATCCTTCTGCTTCATCTCTTGGTTGCTGGGGCCAGGCCCTACCCCTCCAGGAGAGGCAGAGGTGAGTGGAGCAGGAAGGTGCAGGGAGGCTTCCTGCCCTGGGCCCGTGCTGATCCACCCCATCTTCCACGGCGCCCTGGACTGGGCAGGCTGCGTGGACAAAACTCGCTGCAGACGGTCACCCCATGGGAGACTGGAGGACACTTCTCGGTCTCTTGATTTCTTGGTAAAGGCAGGGGCTGGCCTGAGTGCGTGTGGAGGAAGAATCTCTCAAACCTCTGGAAGCCAGGGAGAGTCAGGGTTTGTGCCGGTGACTGTCGTTTCCTTTGTTGGCTGTCCGGAAGGACGTTTGGGGACGCTCGGTCTGTGAGCTGCTTGCCCTGCGGGGCTGACTACTGCCCTGTTCGGCGTGTATGGCTGCTTCTCTCTCCTCCCGTTTCCCGCTCTGGGCAGGCCCCAGGCCCTCTGCCCTCTCCCGCCTTCAGCATCTCTCTGTGGCCGTGTCTGAGCCTCACCCACTTCCCTAGGGTCCCCAACCCGATCTGCCACATCCTCCCCACGTTGGAATCAGCGCCCTGGCCTGGCCGTTGGGTCCCTGAGCTCTGGGCCCAGGGCTCTCTGTTGACAACTTTGCTGGCTCATGGGACACAGAACTTGACTGGGAGGCAAAGACATTACCCAGATGTGTGGACCGTCTGCTTCGTGGCACATCACGGGATGCTGTGGCTCGTTCCCAGTTCCAGGGAGCAGGTTATTTGCATGCACTCTTGAGATGCAGCCTTTCTTCCAGCTTACAGCTGTGTCCTCTTGTCAGGAACTACCTGTTTGCCCACCTGCCCCTTGTTGAGGGGGCCTCCTTGGGGGCCTCTCGTACTCTGTGTCTCCCTCCTGTCCGCTCACCCGCTTGCCGGGCTGTCTCTGGGCCTGTCTGCCCCACTGACCGGGGGCTCTTCAAGGCCAGCTCTGTGGTCCTCTTGCCTGCTGCATGTCCGCCTGCCTTCCCCGGATGTTCGTGTGCACCTCGTTTGTCTTGGACACTGAGCTGGGCACCAGAGATACGCAGGTGGACAGGCAGGCCCCTGTCCCTGTGGAGGCTCTGTTTGAGGGAAGACAGACATTTGCTCCACACACCCACTTAAAGTGGGGTCTTCGGGAGGGGCATGCACGGGGCTGCAGGCGCTTGTCCGAGAGGGTTGTGACCTCATTATGGAGGTCAGGGTCGGCCTCCCTGAGAAGGCAGTGCCGGAGCTGAGGTCTGGCACAGAGCAGAGGGGCGTCACTCTGAGTTGAGGACCAGCCAGTGCAAAGGGACTGTGGCAGCAGAAAGGGCGTGGCCGGAGTGCTGCTCCAGGGGCTGTGGTCCGGGCCCCCCCTGCAGGACTGTGTCTGGCCTAAGGCAAGAGCCTGGCAGCACCTCCTCCTCTCTCCACCTTCCCTGGTTTAGGCTGTTCAGACACTTCGTTTTTCAAACAAGTTGTTTTTTTAAAAGAGCTTTGGTGAGATACCATTCACGTACCATAAAATTCACTCCTTTAAGGAGCACAATTCAGTAGCTGTATCTTAAAAGGACGATGCAGCCGTCAGCACTGTGTCATTTCAGAACGTTTTCATCACCCCAGACGACCTCACAGTCCCTTTGCGTTCTCCCCCCTCCACGGCCGCTGGCAACCGTTAATCTGCCTTCTGTTTTTATGGATTTGCCTTTCCTGAACACTTCATACAAATGAAATAATACATAGCCTTTTGCAACTTTAAACAAGTTTTTGAAAATATATTTTACTTTAATTAACAGAGTCTACTTACTTTTTAAGAGGGGAGGTTGAGGGTGAAGTATCCCGGCCTTTCCGGTGGCTTTGGGCCCAGCTCTCCAGCCCCATTTAGGAGAAATCCCCCGCCCCCTGTGACTTGGGAATTCAGAATAGTTCTGGTCGTTGCTCTCAATTTGTCCTCGGATTTTGTGACTGCCAACTCTTTTCTGGAAATTCCTGAGGGGATGCACCTGGTTTCCGTAGCTACTCTCTGGAAGGTCTGAGCTTGTGCGACGTGGCCCGCCACGTGGGCCTGGAGCTGGGTTCCAACTCTGACTTTGGCACTGCTCATTAGCTGTGTGGCCTTGGGCTGGTTAATTACCACTCTGCACCTCAGTTTCCTCATCTGTGAAATGGACGTTATACGAGTATACAGTGAGTCGATCCCCAGGGAGTAACTGGGGTTTCTGCCGCCGCCACCACCACCGTTACCGGGAAGAGTTTTGGATCAGGAATCCCACGAGCAGGATTCCAGTCCTGGCTGTGCCACGCGCTAGCTGCGCAGCTGTAAGAAGTCACTTCCTCTCCCAGCCTTCGTTTCCCAGGCTCTAGATGGGGGCTAATAAATGTTTTTTCATTTGTGGTTATGGGGTGGCGCAATTGTGAGAGCGGAGAGAGAAAAGATGGTAAACTGTAAAGTGCGGTCCCTCATGAGGTGTCATCCCCACGTGCCCCGGTCTCCTGTCAGTCTCGCTGGTTTGACGCAGACGTTGACTTTGCCGGTACACCGAACGTTGCTCCTGTGAGAAGAGCCCACCGTGGGCTGCGCTCTGCCTTGTTTGCACAGGGCCTTGTTTCCAACGTGTCCACACTCGCCGTCTGCCTGGCTGTGCCTTCTGTGCTGTTCCTTCGTGCTGTTCCTGGAAGGCCACGTGGCCTAGTGGTCAGGAGAGAGGGCTCTGCGAGGCCAGTCAGACTCGTGTTCTAGTCCTGGGTCTGCCACTTAGTGGTCAGGTGACCTCAAGTAAGTTGTTTAAAGAAAGCTTAACCTCTGGGGAGCTCGGTTTTTCTTCCTGTAAAATGGGGATAATGATAGTACCTACCTATTATCGGGGGACTCAAGGTGGTGATCGTATGAAACCCCCTGCCCCACTGGCCAAGCTGATGGGGGAAGTGGGCCTCTGTTACCAGCACTGGGACCTGGGCTCGTTTGTGGGGCCTGCAGGGGTCTTTTCAGGCCTCCTCATCGCTAAGTGTCACATGGAGGGGGTGCTTTACTCATGGAGCACTCGGGCCAAAGGTCTGCAGCCTCTGGGTGTCCGGCTGACCCAGGCCACAGGGGCCGCTGGTCTTGGTCTGGTGACCGAAGGAGGCTGTGGCTGTCGCGATGACCCTCCCCGACGTGGGCAGCAACAGTCCCAGGATGTGCTCTGGTGGCCTTCAGCTCCCCTCCCTGTCTTCTTGGGGGTGTCTCTGAAGCCACGAGCCCTAGGTTCCTGGGTTCCCGCCATTGTTACCCCCACCCCTTACCTGCCCCCTGTACCTCAGCACGGAACCTTATACAATGTCCTCGGAGACCACAGGCTAGATCTTGCCCTCAAATGTATCGTTTGGCCTGCTTTTTCACTTTTTCACCGTTTTTACCATTTAAAAAAATGTGGTGAAATACATGTAACAAAATTTGCCATCTTAAGCACTTTTAAGCGTAAAGTTCAACGGCAGTAAGTACGTTCACCTTGTTGTGCGGCGTCACCGTCCTCCTCCACAACTCTTCCCAGCTTCCCAGACTGGAGCTCTGTCCCCAGTAAATTTGACTCTCCGTTCTCCTCCCTCCCACCCACACACCTTTCTCCTGTCTGTCTCTGAGTTTGACTACTCTGGCTGCCTCCTGTGAGTGGGGTCACGTGGTGTTTGTCCTGTGACTCGCTTATGTCACTTAACATGACGTCCTCAAGGATCATCTATGTTGTAGGATGTGTCGGAATGTCCTTCCCTTTTTCTCCTATCTTTTTTATAGGCAGTAGTTAACGGCCTTTTTAAGGCTGAATAATATTCCATTGTGTGTGTATACCACATTCTGTTTATCCATTCATTTGTTGATGGACATTTGGGTTGCTTATACCTCTTGGCTATTGTGCATAATGTTGCTACAAACATGAGTATATAATCCCTGCTTTCAGTTTTTTTGGGTATATACCCAGATTATAATCATAATCATATGGTAGTTCTTTTTTTGGTGGGGGGGTTATCCCAATAGGCAAGCATGGCTCATATGGTAATTCCATTTTTTTTTTTTTTTT